AGGGTTTAGGGTTTAGGTTTTGGTATAAGTGAAATGGCACCATCGTATCCACCGGGGGAGGTGATTATGAGGGAGTTCGGCGACTTAGTAGTAATATGCCCCTCAAGTCCCTATACAAGACTTATGGGTTGTATTTAGCCCCAAACCCTGCTCCAATTATTGCGGCTCGGAAGCCCCGAATGAACCTTTATGTTTAGAGGTTTTCCGCTCGATTGTGCAATCCACTTTGGTGAAATGGGCCTAGATTCCTCGAGATTCATGTCCTTTTGAGAGCATTAGGGGCTATTGGCTAGGCTTTTATGTGAACTGGTCAGCATACACCTCAAGCCCTCAACCCTACCAAATCCTAAACACAAAGCGCCTGTCGGGGTTGTACCGGTAGGGCTACGTGGAAGGTCGGGGGACTTAGTAAATGGTTACTTTATAGGCCTATAAGTACTATAACCCTAATTAGGATCTCTTTTAGGGTACTTATAAGTCTACTTATTACCTACTTACTAAGTCTCCCGACCCTCCAAGTAGGGCTTGTCCCAGCTCGGTATTGGAACTGCCGGGCACACTGTCTGCCCTCAACACCACGCCCGGGGGGGGCGTTATAGGGCCTAATCTTTAAGGTTCAGGGTTGAGGGCTTAAGGTTTAGGGTTTAGGGTTTAAGGTTTAGGGTTTAGTATTTAGGGTTTAGGGTTGAGGGTTGAGGGTTTAGGGTTCAGGGTTTAGGGTTCAGGGTTCAGGGTGTAAGGTTCAGGGTTGAGGGTTTAAGGTTTCGGGTTTAGGGTTGAGGTTTAACGTTTAGGGCTTTATGGTGAAAGCCTAAGCCCTCAGACCCTTTGGGGGCGTGCGGCAGGATGTTTAACCCCAGCGACGTTGCCGCTGCCAGCGCAACTCGGTGAAGAACACCACTGCAAACCTTAAAGGCCCCAAGAACCAGGTGCTCGGTTGAAATACTTGGAGTTTGGAGCTTAGGGTTTAGGGTTTAGGGCATTGATGGCAAGCTTGCTTCGCTTCCCCGTTGTAGACTGCTGTTGGTACTCCAACGAGGGTTCTCGCCGACAGATCAAAACCCACGAGCCGCGTGACATTGATGTATGAGTCTCAACAGCTAGCTATCTGATCCGTTCTGTAGTTCCCCTAAGCCTAAACCCTGAACCCTAATCCCTAGACCCTAAAACCCGCTGCCATCGGGGTTTCGGGCTTATAGGCCTACATGTAGTATTGCCATCATGACTTGATAAATCGGGACATACTGCTGATGATACAAATCTTGCAATACCTTAAGGACCCTAAACTATGGGAATTATCGTCCATTCCCTATTATGGGTAATGCAGGATTTATGTCATCAGCCGTACTGTCCAGGGCTAGCAGCTGTGCTCTTTGGGTATTTGAACAGGATTTCCGTGGATGTTGGAGGCATTGCTGTCATGTCAAACCGCATGTAGACTGGGTGCCCTAAGCCCTAAATCGCAGGTCCATGGCTGATACCCTGATTCCCTACACCGCCTACCTCCGTGCATTCAAGCTCAGGTAACCCTCGCTGCATTTCTTTGTCAACTATAATGAGTATAGGCTTGTTCATAAAACGTCGCTGTTTGGAAGTCTGGCGAACGCCAGCGTACGTACGGTTGATGGTATACGTCCTGCATTACCCATAGTAAGGAATAGACCATAATGCCCATACTTTAGGGTCCTTAAAGTGATGCAGGACTTATATCATCAACAGTGCCTTCCCATCTTAAGCCCACAGGTCTAATGCCTTTTCAAGCTTCAGCAGAACCGAAATCCTGAACCCTGACATCCAGCCCTTCGCCCTAAAGAGAGTCCTTGCGGGGGCCTTTTAGCACCTCATAGACCCCTTATAGGACCCTAATGCCTTAATATGTCCCTTACAGATCCCTTATAGGACCCTAATGCCCTAATATGTCCCTTATAGATCCCTTATAGGACCCTAATGCCCTAATATGTCCCTTACAGATCCCTTATAGGACCCTAATGCCCTAATATGTCCCTTACAGATCCTTTATTCTTAGGTCACCATATTCCTGGTCATCCTCGCCTCCATGATTCTGATGCGATCGCTCACAGCGCTTTGGGCATACAGAGCTAGAGACCCTTTTGGTTTAGGGTTTAGGGTTTAGGGGTAGTCACCACAACCTGCCTTTTTCGAGGACGTGTATAAGATAAAGGTCAAGACCTAAATCCTAAACCCTAAGGTGAGGTTTCTAGCACGAGGCTTTGGGTTTATGAAACCCAAACCCTAAATCAACACACCCAGATGAGTTGTTTAAGCTTACCTTACCTGGACCCCAAAGAACCTACTTTGTTAGGGCTCATCATTACGACTTCCTTATACCAGTCCTTAAAAGAGTAGGTATCTAGGGTCCAGGTAAACTCCGAACTTTACAACAGTGAGTTTGAAACCCCCTGGTATTCTTAAATTGACTAGGGTTTACATAGGGTACAAGGTGTCTTAACCCAAACCCTAAACCCAAAAACCCTAAACCCTAAACCAAAGATCATCCTAAAAACCATGGCTTGGGGCTTCTGAATTTGATACGTGAGGTCATTCCTTGAGGTACTCTGGCTTGAATTTTTCGGTCCTACAGTGTGGCACTCTTGGTAGTAAGGATCGTATGTCTCGACTTCCGTCATCGGCAATGCAGCCTTCTGATGCCAGACCTCACAACAGTAAACCCCTGATTCCAAACTGCTCACCCCAATTATAACTCCACTGAAGAGTCATCTGGCATTGGGGCCCGACATTTCTCCTTGCTTAGAAGAGCAGGCGACTCAGAAAGTAAGGCTTATCTGTTTCAGGTAATGATAGTTAGAAAACCCCAATGGAGGTACCTGTACCTCTATACTTACTAGGGCGCGGTTCTCTAATATCTCTCGAGAAGGGCACGTAGGCCCTGGCGCCATGTTTGATATGATTCGGATAGGGCTTACAGGGTTCGGGCTTACAGGGTTTAGGTTTATCAGGTTCAGGGTAAAGATATATAACCCTAAAACGTATATAGGTAGGACGAGGTTCCTGGTGAGTCGGATGACGGATGCTACCATAGGGGCCTAAATAATTACCTATACTATTTTGGGGGGGGTTCTTATTATAAGATGTAGTACAATGGGCCGCAAAACCCTATTCTAATTATTAAGGCTCCTATGCTACCACTCAAAGTCCCATCCGGGTCTGTTGTCTGACCCTCCTACGTCTTCGATCCCGCCGGAGCGCAGTTAAGGGTTTAGTGTTTAGGGTTTAGGGTTTAGGATTTATGGTTTAGGGTTTAGGATTAAGAGTAACAGATATACCTTAATCCAGGATATTAAGCCTTTTACAAGTTAAGTTAGGCTCTCGACGAAGAAGCTTAAAGCCCTATACCTTAAATTCTGTGAAGCCCGTCAAAGCTTAAATATTTGCCCCTACACTTTCAGGTATATTCCCTAATTACTCTAAACCCTAAACCCAAAAACCTACACCCTAAACCCTAAACCCAAAGACCTAACCCCAAACCCTAAAACCCTAAACCCCAAAACCCAACAAAAACTCAATTACAGGGCCTGTGTGAGTAGGGTTTAGGGTTTAGGGTTCTGAAAGCTTCTTTAAGCTCTTTTAGGTTTAGGGTTAAAGGTTCTTGCAGGGCTTAGTAGGGTTCAGGGTTTAGGGTTCTGAGAGCTCGAGTAAGCTCGTTTAGGGTTTTGGGTTTAGGATTCTTACAGGGCTTAGGGCTCTTTTAGGATTTAGGGTTCCGGGTTCATAGAGTTTGAGTAAGCGACGAGCAGCTGGATGCTGCCAGGGCAATGGATACGGGTGATGGAAGAAACTGGGTCGAATCAGTGGCTGGGGCCACGCCCGGGCTTCGCCCGTGCTCCTTGGGCGCGCAAGGTCTGGCTTGGACCACGCGTCGGGGGCGTCCGAGCTCCTTGGGCACGCACGAAGGTCTGGCTTGGAAAACGCATCGGGGGCGCCCGTGCACCTTGAGCGCTCAGCGGCACGAAGTCAATGTCTCTTTGCTCAATGGCAGGACAGCTCGTCAACGAACAGACGCGCTTGTTGAGGTCCTTTTTACAACTGCGCACGATGTCGGTAGATCAAACTCCGTCATCCGGATCATCCGGAGCGATCACAGATATCGTAGTCTGAGGAGCTTGCGCGGCTTTAAGCTGCATACACCCGCCTCGACGATGTCTTAGGAGCGGACTTCTCCTTGCAGACCTAACTTCATGAGCATCTGGTTTCGAATTGCTTGAATAACACTTTAGTAATTACTAATTCCTAAATACTACTTACTAACAACTAATTCTAAGCTAAACCCTATAGACCCTAAACCCGAACCCTAAACCCTAAACCTAAATTAGAGTTCGAGCGTAACTGCACACCTTCAGACAAGGGGTGCAACTGGTTTTGGAGGGCTCCATATAAGGGTTATCCTAATTATGAGCGCCTCTATATGCGGGCTCAGAACACCCTAAACTACCCTAGACCCTAGCATTAATATAGGGGCCTTAATTTCTACGATTTGGTTTTGGGGCCCAATTTTACTATAGTTATAATAGGGAACCCCCCAAACTAGTATAGGTAATGATTTGGGCCCCTAGCATTCTGCAAGCCCCGAGTGCTTTGCAAGGCCTACGCGCGCGCCCGCATTGCCTTGGCGGACCAGCTGCAGCTGCTTCGGCTTGGAGAGATCCAGAGACTCCAATACCCCTTAATTAAGGAATATACCTTAAATCAGATTAGGGATCCTACTATAATCTAAGGTATATTCCGTAATTCAGGGGTATTGGAGTCTCTGGGGAGTTTCTGGGGCTTGCGGGGTTTTCAGGTTTTGGGCTCATAGCGTTTAGGGTCTATTCCTTAGGAGTGTTAGGGAGACCCCTTAAATGGGGACCCTTCTTAACCCTGCCTATGGCTTTCTTAAAAAGGGACCCTATCGAGAGGGTGTATATCCCCAAAGGTCCCCCTAATCCTAACTCCTACGTTTAGGGCTTGCAGGCTTTGGGCTCTGGGTCTCCACCCTTTCGGAGTTTGGGGTTTCGATTTCTGGGCGACGGGGTCTGGAACCCCATGTTGAACAAGCCCCTCTCTCGCAAGAAAGATTACAATTCCCTACAACTAATGCTCTTCAGGATAGAGGGTTGATTGATCAGGGGGCTTGGATTGATGATTTTCGTGTTCAGTCGGATTGCGGGCGTAGGAGCTGTGAGGGTGGGCTGAGTGCGTATTGTAGGAGCCTGAATAATTAGGACAGTAAGATTGACAGCCTCCAACTAACTTGCGACACTGCCTGAAACGCGCAAAACCGAGAAGCCTATACCCTAAACCCTAAACCCCTAAATCCCAGAATCCGTAAATCCAGGGGGAGATATCGAAAGCTTTGTGGTGCTCTTTGGTTATCCTAGGCCACCCAAAAACACTCCCCAAAATCCACCAAAACTGTGAGAAAACCCTAAACCCTACTTGGAGGT